TTTGCATTTTGTGGGGCTCCCACAAAGGGATGTTTTCTCGGTCAGAGGCAGCACATATTTTTTGTTGGGATCACATCTCCCTGTGGGTTTCTCTTTTTCTGTCTGTCTGATTTCTAAGGCTGCAAAATACAAAAACCATTTCAAACATTTGTGTAAATAGGAACCCTCCCATGTCGGGTGAGACTGAAGAAAATAATTCTTCCAGCAAGGAGATCCACAGGCAATGTCTTGTTTGTTGTGGAACCCAAAAATTGCATCAGAAGCCAAGCAAGAATTCCCCTTCAGTGTTCAGGCTGCCCAGATGGGTTATTGGAACTGTTGCAAATCATTGATGTGGTTAACTGATTTACAGTGGACCTTTGGAACCCAGAACTTCCCATAGATGGCCTGTGCTTCCACTCTGCAGAATGTAAACTATGTCTCATCCTGAATTTGGAGCAGTAGAGGTAAAATCCCATTTTGCATTTTCAAAAGTCAGGGCTAGGCCTACCATTATGCAGAACAAGGTGTCTGCATTTTCAAAGGTCAAAGGAGCTATTAGGGGCCACCTAAAACTGAAGATGTTGAAATATGGAGGTGTCAATGTTACACAGCCTGTCTTGTACCCCACACATTGGCCTTCTGACAAATTCCGACAAAACTGATTTCCTGCTACAAGCTGGAAGGAATCAGGCAACTGACGGAACTCCATACAACTCTAAATGCGCCTTCTTTGAGGTGTTCTGCTGGACGTACCTTCTTTGTGGCTGGACAGTAGCTATTAAGTTTGATGCTGTGTTATGAGAGGCGGATAGCCTTCACTTCTCCTTTCAGCATGGGGCAAAGCAAAAAAGGGGTGACAAGTGTTTAATCCTCAAGGGGGTGGGTTTGGGAATGGTACGATGCTTCTTTGTCAATCCTGTAGTATGGAGGAGAGGTTCTCTGTGATCATTCAGCTTACTCCATGTTAGATTTACCTCCTGCACTTTGGGAAACATTTGAAAAACCACTACATCTGGAGGAGGCTCTCAATTCCTTGCTGGGAACCTGATATATTTTCATGCATGCTACTTACACACCTCTTCGTTGCCCTACTGTAGGAGGAGACTTACTTTTTGTAATTCATGTGTCCTTCCCCTGAAACTTGGAGGTCCTCCTTGTAATGGATCAGATATATAGGTGACTTCGGCTTGCCTTGTGTTTTGGGACTCTGCAGGCTTCTGGAAGGGGAACAAGAAGTGAATTTGGGTATCCTGCTGGAACCAAATGACACTGAGGATCCCTTGCCTTACTTGGCTTTAACTTTCCAGTAAAGACTGTCTGTGGTTATTTATGAGCTCCAATGCAAAATACTTTCTTGTTTGGATTTCTGGAGCCCAAATCAGGGTTTCTGTTTGATCAGCTGGCAATGTGGTTTTGATTAAATAGAATGTTCTCAGTGAGGTCAGGACAAGGCTGCAAAAAGGTAACTTCTCTTTACTCTCCTCCATTCATTTCTCCCTTGAAATTTCAGTACAATGAAAAAGGGAAGGGTCAAGCTTCAGAGAGGAGAGAGTATTCCATCACTTTAATAAGGCATGAATAGGAAATGTCTATGGGTGGAGCAGAAGTGCAGAAGACTGCTGGCTTCATGAACACATTGTACGTTGTGCCACACGTGATGTATTCTTGTTCCTGCAACCCTTGGAACATTGTTGTGCCACAATGTTCTAAGGGTTGCAGGAACAAGAACACATCAAAATACAGTTTCTGTTGCTTGCTATAATGGAACTAAGATGAACTTAGGACCTCCAAGTGTGTCGTGGGTGGGGGGAGTGGGTAGGAGAGGAAAGGTACAAAAAATAGAGGCAGGTCCTGAGAGGTTGTAGTACCCACTTGTTGAGAAAGGAAATATCTGGGGGGCTTGGTAGAAGCTTCCACGTATATAGATGCCCGTATATACCTCTATAAAACTCACAGGAAGCCATTTTTTATTTGTAACATGGGTGGGGAAACATGACCATTCAGATGCTATGACACTTGTAGCCTTTTTGTACTCTACTACTCCATCACATGTTTGTTTGTTCCAGTTTAAAATAAACTGGACCCTAGTCTAAAAACTCAGGGCAGGTCGTGACATGATTTACTGGGTAAACATAGAAGCATATGGCTGGAAAGATTTAGCAGTAGGATAAAATCAGACTAGTAACAATGGATCAGCCGTAGCAGCACCCTTTTTAAGGGACTGGTGTTTGGACTGATTTTTGGTCCGTTCTTAACATTAAGGTCCTCTAAGGTTGGAATAGTTAGATAGCAGCCCTCTCTTCCCCTATCCTCTCCTCCTAAGAGCTTTGCACTCTAGCATGGATTCAAACATGTAGCTAGCTCAAGAAGTGACTTTGAAAGTACTGCCAGGGCTCAGGTTATAGGAACCATTAGGTTGCAAACTGGGACTAATTAATTAATTCAGTACTGATGCTGAGGACCTCCTGACTCTGACAGCAGATTGTGAATGGCATTCACTCTATTGTGGTTTCATGCTTTGAGCATTAATCCAACTTCTGTAGGACAGAAGTGGTCAGCCTCTTGGGGATTGGTTGCCCTGCTCAAGGTTGCAAGATGCCTTTAGATGAAATCAATTTATTCATTTTTAAGTCTTTGGGCAGGTTAAAGCTTTAAACACATCATCATCGTCATTAAAACCACCATCTCAACACTGTGGTCCACCTAATTGGGATTCCCTATACCAAGGCCCCTTCAGAAGAGCCAACATCATTGTCATATCAGGGCCAATTTTTCCAGCCTTTGGTGGAGGGACACTTGTAGAAATCTGCATGTAGCCCAAATGAAGCTGATTCAGAGTGAGAGCAAGGAATGGTGCCTTTCCTCTGAATAGGCTTCTTAACCCAGGGCCCAATCAGACTGGGCTACACAATTATCACTAGAGCCGGAAAAAGTCACCCCTTTGAGAAGTTGCACATTCATCCTCCTATACCCTTCAACACAACTTGCTGTTTCATTTTGATTTTCCTCCAATGAATATGAAATGGCAGAAAATCAGAGGCAGGCAAGCTGTTAGAACTGTTTCAAGCTCAAAATAGAGTGTTTCCACTTCACTAGGTGTATTCCCACCTCAGAATCTTTTGCACAGCTCTTTGATCTCTGTTTCCACTGAAGCTGCATTTTTTCTCCCTCACAAGAGCATCTTTGTGGAGGTCTCCATAAAGATAGTCTTTTTCCCCCCTAACAAGCCTTTTTAAAAAAATCTCTTGGGGCTGGGTAGCCATGTAAACACTGACTTCTGTGTCAGCTTGTTTAAATTGTGGAGGTATCAATTCATGGAGCATAAAAACAGATTCCAGGATGCTTAATTTTTTTTTTTTCTTTTAACTCGCTCTCTTGGCACAATATGTTTGGTTTATGTCTGTTGATTTACTCTTCTCTAAATGTGCCAAGTTACCATCCAAAAGAGGAAGTGCATTCTTGTGGCTTTGGTGAATAATATTTGTATAAATATGTACTTTACATCACAGTGGCTTGAAAGAGGCATTTTTCTACAGATTGTCTAAGGAGCATACAATTAATTGTCTCTCGCTGCTAGAACATTGCACTGAAATTTGGGAAAGATTAGCCACTGGCTATTTCAGAGACATTGCACAATTTTCGCTCTTTTGTGTGTGTGCATGCATACACACACAGAGACTTTTATAATAAATCATAAATGTTTTGTGTCCAGGTTAACAGGTGGAAATTTTGGATTGGGATAGCCTTTCTCTCATTTTTTGAAAATGCAAACTTTGCAGGCAACTTTTGATAAACAAATGTCATCCTTTTCTGCTTTGGTTCTGCAGCTAATCCATAGGCATAGCAGTGGTTTTCTGTTTGTCTATTTTCTTTTGTCTTTGAGAGAGAATGGAAAAGAAAGAAGGGAGTTTTTATTGCACATCAGTGGCTAAAGAAAAGAGAAATGGGCAGGTGCTGGCTGCTGTTCTTGATAGCTCTTCCATAACATCCTCCCAGAGGAAGTATTTTGCATTCTTAAAAGTTTAAGGAAATCACCTTTCTTTCAGAGGGAACGGAATTTGCATCTTGGATCTTCTCCCTGCGAAGGAGGAACCTGTTATTCAGGATCTCTGGAAATATACATGAAAGTGGGCTGAGTACTGTCTCTACAAGGCTGCAGACTTAAGGAGGACCGCTGCACACTGTTTTGGGAAGGATAAGCCACCTTCTTAGTCAAAAAATTGGGGAAAGGAACTTGTTTCAAGTCCATCCCCCCCGCCCCCATTTTGCCCGTTGTGATTCCTCCAGCCTAAAAAGCAGCTGAATTCTGCAACTTCACTGCTGCCCTTATCTCTCTGCTAAAAAAACACACAATAATTTAGAAATTGGTTTCAGCAGGATATATCTTCTTCTTCTTCTTCTTCTTCTTCTTCTTCTTCTTCTTCTTCTTCTTCTTCTTCTTCTTCTTCTTCTTCTTCTATGGTATTTATGAGATTCCTTTATGACTACTAAGTAGCAGAAGGCATTCCTCTGGTTGTTTTCCTAGTAACCTGACCATAGAATGAAGGGTTGGTTGTCTCCTGCTACATATCTCTCCATTGCTCTGCATCAGATGAAAGAAGAGTAGGAGGGGGATAGATGGATGGATGGATGGATGGATGGATGGATGGATGGATGGATGGATATTTTCTCCCAGAAGTAAATGTTGGAGGAAAGCCTAGGAATTTATCTGGCCCACAATTGTATCCACTTCAGTCAGAGACCTTTTGTTTTCACATCACAAACTCCTCCTAAGCACGTTTGGTCTTTTCTCTTATTTTTTATGCATTACGTTTGTTTTTCCCCTTTACACTCTGAACAGTGGTCAAGGAAGTTTGCAATGCAATACCGTGAAACTCAGATCAGAAGTTCCCATGCCAACACCTTCTCTGAATGAAACCTACTTGCTGCTGAAAGAGCTATCAAGAAGGGAATGGGTCCAAAATACTTCATTCCTTCCGTTTATCCCAGTTCATCCTGATGGGTGTCTTCTCTTCCAGATTTACCCTCTATGCTGTGGACACCCGTGGGAGGCACTCAGAACTGAGCACCATCACACTAAGAACAGCCTGTCCATTGGTGGATGACAGCAAGGCAGAAGGTAAATGCTTGTCCTCAGAACATGGGTCCAAAAGAGTTCTTACCTGTGTCTTAATTTTGCCTTAATTTCTGGAGTTTCTCACGTAGCCCAAGCTCAGATATTTCTGGGACATAGCCTAGACCAGTGTTTTCCAATCTGGACAACTTTGAGATGTATGGACCTCAACCCCCAGGATTCTTAGCAATGGCCATGCTGGCTAGAATTCTGGGAGTTGAAGTCCACAATTCTCAAGGTGGGAAACAGTGGTCTAGAACAATGGGTCTGTTGACACATTTTGGAAACTTGTACACTCCCACAAAATAGACACCCACATTTCTACTTTACAAAACCACCTGTGGTCATACATTTAGCCCAGAGGCATTCAGCTACTGGTTGTCACTAGTCTCCTGTTTAATTCTTTTGAATTAATTTATATAATACATTGTAAAAGACCATTAGGTGTTTCTTGCAGCAACTCATACTCTGCTGATTTAGGGACAGCTTGGGTTCAAAACCATCTACAGATCCTGTGGGTGCTGCACTGTCTTCCGTCGTGGAAGGAAATTACTTGAAAGTAATGCTTTAATTCTTTGCTCTCTCGTTCTGAAGATACTTCAGGATCGCTTCAAAATTCTTCCAGTGTTCTTTTTCAGTTTACTTTAGTCTTGTGGCATGGCAGAGGACACTAAAAGTAACGGTGGGTGTTCCTACGGCTGCTATTGCAAATCTTAATATAGCCATATCAGGTGTTCTTTGGGCAGACTACAAGATTACGCGTAGTTTCATCAAACTGGGAGGGTTTTCAATGTAAAATATTTGGAAGCGTGGACTCCACAGTTGGCATTATTAGAAGCAGCACAAAAGGAAAACAGCTTTATTCATTGAACAGCAGTAATGATCTCTGAATCTTTGTATCCCTTTGCAGCTTCCCCACTGCCCTCACTTCCCAGAGTGAAAAACCCCCACTGGAAGAGACCCCTTGTTATATCTTTATTTAGGATTCAGTTGGAGATGTGGGGAACTGCAGAGTGATGGAGAATCGATGCTACCACACAGAACAGGATAACGAGCAAATCCTTGGCCACCTTGTAAATTAAACAGCTCTTTCTCTCATCCGGTGCATTGGAATTTCTCCAGCATTTCTTTTTCTTTAGTAGAACGGAATGATTTTTTTTTTAAATCCGATCAACTAGAGATGGTCCATAGAAAGAATATTTGGTCACATTGCTAAGTTCTGCTTCCATGGTTGCTGCTCAGCCTTTTCTTCTCTGCTTGTTTTCCAGAAATAGCAGACAAGATCTACAACCTGTACAATGGCTATACCAGTGGGAAGGAGCAGCAGACGGCCTACAACACCCTGATGGAAGTCTCTGCATCCATGCTCTCCCGAGTCCAGCATCACTACAACTCCCACTATGAGAAGTTTGGCGACTTTGTCTGGCGTAGTGAGGATGAGCTTGGCCCCAGGTAATTCTTCTGGCCAAGTGTGAATTCCTACTGCCTTCCTTGCCATTAGTAGGACTAGCTAAAATGTCACCAGGGTAGGTAAGCCTCTGAGTTTCTCAGGGTTCTTCATTAGGCAAGGTGTTACCAAAGGGGTGAAGGAGATACCCGGTTCTTCTCACCACTACTACCACCACCTTTCCTGATATTGGACTTGGACCATTCTTGATGAGATGGGGGTCTCCTTCCACTCTAAGACTGTCAGACTTAGGGGGCATCCTAGAGGACCCCTGTTGTTGGTTCAGTGTAAGGCCCTGCTGACTTCAAAAGTCTGTATCAACATACATACTTGGGTTCAACCCTTCTCCATGAAGTCTGGGCATCTGCCCATCAATTCAAACACTTGAGAATGCTTCTGAGATTCTCTTCTTCCAAACTGGGTCTTAGTTATGGGCTTGAACACCCTCCATTTATCATGATCACAGCAGTGGGGTACTTGGGTGTGCTTTTCATCGTTGCTTGTCCAGAGTTCCAGCATGCTTCTAAGCATTCAGAGAAAAGTAGTTCTTTGCATTCACAGTTTTACAACACAGTGGGATTTTAACTTTCCTACCACCCCCCATTATGCCTATCTAAGTGGCAAAAGTCCTCAAAGAAGGCAAGGGCAACCCACTTCTGTTCTGCTGCTAAGAAGTACATCAAGTCAACAGGGAATCAAGGTCACCTTAGTGATTTTATTTCCACCTTGCTCTGCCTATGGAGTTGGTGGGCTGTTCTGACAACTTTCCTTCCCCGGCTCTCTTTTGAAGAATGGTATGGACAACACCCTAAAAGATTACCTCATCTCCCACTACTCATTATAAGCCATCGTCGCTCCCTTCCCACCCCTCAGAAAAGCTCAGAAATTCAAATCACTTGGAGGACTTCAGAGAACCCTTCCTTCTTGACACATCTGCCATTCTTCTGTTTTGCTTTCCAAGCCCTGGAGTGAAGGATTTGTAGCAGCCCTTTCTTGTTTGCCCATGAGTTGGCTCGAACCCTCTCTGTAGCTCTGTGCGCCCAAGCCAAGTCGTATGGATCCATGAAGCAGAGGCCAAGGGCTGAAGCCAGAACAACCACAGAAAAATAGATGAGGAAAAGCCAGCGGTGGCCAAACTTGAGGGTCTTTCCACTTGAAAATATCCAGGGCCCAGCCCAGGGTGGTTAAGATCTCATCAGTATCCCTGAATCCTTTGCTGTTCCAAAAAGTGGTTTTGGAGGCTTATCTCACCGAGTGGGCATTCCCAAGATCAGGGGCCTTCTACTCTAGCCTCATCATCCCTTAACGCTGACCAAATGCCCATGTCCTTTTACCCTGTCCAGATTCCTGACTGGTTCCTCAAAGAGCTGCTGTGAAAGAACAGGCAGAGACCAAATGCTGTTTGAAGGCAGGGTGCTTCCTAATGAGCTTTTAATTGGCAGGAGCCTAATGTTCTGTGGGGGTCATGAATTTCCCAACTTTGAAATGTTTATCAGGGGAGCCCCTGATCTGTAGCAAAAGTTGGGTCATAAAACTTAGTGACAAGAGTGGAGTCTGTTGCATATGCACCATAAATATATTACCTCAGAGCTCCCACACAGGCCAGTTTCAGGGAGAACCACAGGTTCCTTCAAACAGCTGGTTAGCAGTAGATACTGGACTTGTCAGCTGTTCAAAGCAGAAGGTTTACGCTAGGAAAAACTGAGTTCATAGGTGGCCTTGGTTATGGTGCTGTACATCCAGCCAAATTTTCTCTGCACCTGCTCCAGTCCTGACCCTTTATTCCTAGCACCACCACAAGAATCTTAGGCTTTCTCCAGAACTTATAACAAGGCTCTTCTGCATTACTGTACTAGATGTTCCTTCTGCAACGTGTTTCTATCATACTTCAGCAGGATGGAAAGTTATTTCTGTGGCGTTTGTGTTTTCCACCATAGGATAAGAGGAAGGGGAAAAAAGGCAACGTTCCCATAATGAGGAGCAAGATTCTTGGTTGCAAAGTGGCCAAAGGATCTGAGAATCTCCTTTCTTCCATTCCAAGCATCTCTCCAGAGGGTTACAGACCCTTAGGGAAGATATCACAAGATAACTTTTCCTGTGTGTGCGCGCGCGTGTGTGATGGTGCTGAAATGGAGATAGGGAGGCTTTGGAATAGTGGAAAGATTCCAGCACCACTGTTACAAATATTAAGTCATTTCCTTGAAGCATTAGTGCTTTGACGCATATCCAGGTACAGAAATCTGCGACACCAAGGTTTTTAAATTAAGGCTTAAATACAACCAATTATCTAAAATTCATAGGACAGTTCCCCTGTTGTGCCCAAAGGACAGGAGGCAAAAAAAAAAAAAAAACTGAAGGGGGGGAGAGCATGCATAAAATATAAAAGGAGGTAAACACTGGGGTCATACTTGCAATGTTTCAGGCAATGGGGAATGAGGTCCACTACTTTGCCTGGCAGCAATCGGGCAACATCCTTTCTCCCCACCTGTTATCTCATTCTGCTTTTTGTTTACTCAGCGATGCCAAGATTGGATCTGGGGACTTTATCCACACAGGGGTTTCTCCATGCACACTTTCACTGCCTTGCAAACTGGGAAAAGGGAGCACCCCTTCTAACTCTCCATCCTCCCCCTCCCTCATCACACGCTCTTAACGTTTGGTTGCCTCCCAGTCAACAAGGTGGAATGGAGGTGGCCCAGCGTGGCAGGAAGTGGTTACGCGTTTGCAGCAGAGGGCTGGCCGTACAGCTCCCTCCTTTGACCTTCCTTTCCTGACCCAGCTTTTTAACGGCTTCATTAACGTCTGTCCTTTTTGCAAATGATTCCCATTTTCTGAAGCAGAGTGGGTAGGAGGTAGGTCAGGTCAGGGGTTTGGGCCAATTTCATCTCCAGACTTGGAAAAACTCCGACCTCCATAGGGAAAGCTTGGAGAGGACCCAGCATCTGATTTATGACATCCAACTGGCTGCCCTTCCAATTTATCTCCTCGCCTGCTCTGGGAGGTACCTCTCTCCCTTTTTCAACTTCCTCTTTCAGCCTTCCCTCTTCTTTGTTTCCCCCTTCCTCAGGGGAAGATGTCAGCCAAAGATAAGTCTACCCTTTAGACGTTACTTCATTAACCTTTTCACACAAGTGAGTCACATCAGCAGCTTGGCCTAAATATTCCACAATAATCTGTCTTGGGCTGAAAGGGAATTTGTCATTAGGAAAGCCTCAATGGGTTCCGTTTCCCTCCGCCTCTTTCCTTCTCCATACCTTCCCTGTAGATTTATTTTCACTTGTAAGATGCTGCTGCTGCTGCTTTTCGCAGCCAACCTGGCCAAAACTTGCTCATGGCTCTTTCCCATAGGCCACACCCAAGGCTATCATCAGAGATTCTAGAGTGGGTGGAACAGACCGGTTCAAAAGGCCATGCGGGGTGAGAGTGGGTCATAATCCAACAGTGCATACGGTAATGATGAAAAAAAGGCTGGACAGGAGAATCCGAAGGCCATGGCTCTCAACTCAACTGTTTTAACACTACTGCATTTTTTCCCAACCATCCTCCTTCGATTTGGGTAAAAGCAGAGGGGGTTACTTATTTCTTTCCCAATGGGACAATTAAAAATAGTAAAATGTTTGTGGCTGCCCGAAGTGGGCGGAAAGGGATGTAATGTAGCTGTTCCAAAGCTGCAGTAGTTCTGGTGATAAGTGATTATGCTTCGGTTTGCAAAATGTCATTAGAGGGGTGCAGAACTTCCCCCCCCCCCTACCATTTTCAAGTCAAACAAGAACTTGCTTTTGAAGCTTCCTTCAATAAAAAAGAGAACGTTGGTGAATTTTTTTGTGGGCAGACAGCGGTGATCTCGTTTGGAGATTGATTGATTGATTGATTAATCGCATTTATATGGCTGCCCACCTCACACAAAGCAACTCTGGGCAGCGCACAACGATTGAATAAAACGGCAAACGGGTAAAAGAAAAATCATTATGAAAGGATAAAAAGTAATTCTTAAAATAAGAATATTATCAAAACATTTTAAAATATACAAACCTCAGAGACAGCAAGAAGGTTAGTCCCAGTGGAGCCATCTAAGAACGTCTCCAGTTCCCAAAGACCCCCAGGCCTGATGATATCATGTCATCAGATGTTGATGAGGTAGTCATGGGGGTTGCGTGAAGATCCGGCCTTTTAGGGTATGACCCTGTAGTGGTGTACAGCTCCTTGACCTCCCGCGTATCCATTCCATTCTAAAGAAGGAAGTCAAACCCTGAGACTTTTTCAGGTGTGGACAGCCAGGGAAGCTACAAAGGGATGGAAAGAATATTTCAGAGCACCTGAAGAGTACAAGATAAACCCAGGAGCCTCCTTCATATGGGGAGAAGATGTAAGGAAATTAGTAGAGAGATTTTAGCATGGTTCTCCAGTATTCTCGTTAGTCACAGCCACATATCCTTTGAAGCATTCAGTGTTATCTTCACCCGATGCCCCAGCCTGAAATCCAGCTGAAATAAGTCTATGGCGAAGTTTGAAGTGTAGGTAAAAAAGCAAAGGAATAAAAATTGCTCCCAGTGGCACCAGTTCATTGAATTGCCACTATGATTCAGGTCATCCAGAAAATAATCTGATTATTCCCTCCTACCCACCCACCCTTTGGCTTTGCAAATTGTGAAAAAGGTGGCCAAAATATGGGTTTCGCTCAGTCCTAAACCAAAGGTACTCCAAATTCTCTGAAGAACAGGAAGGAGAGGAAAAACCTCTGTATTTTGAGTTTAAATTAAGGAATAATTTGGGGAGACCATGACAAAGGGTGTGTAGATGCTACCAGATTCCTGATTTTAGCATAGACTAGTCCAGCTTTCCAGCATGATGACAGTTACTAGAAATGGTGGTTTGGTCCTCTTCTCTTCCCACCCTACATTCTTCCTCTTTGCTTTCCTCCAAGTCTCAAGCTGATTTTTCCCCCCTTCTAGAAAAGCACATCTCATCCTGCGACGGCTTGAGAAAGTCAGTAGCCACTGTTCAACTTTGCTACGCAGTGCCTACATCCAAAGCCGGACTGATACCATGCCCTACTTATTCTGTCGTAGCGAGGAGGTCCGACCCTCTGGCATGGTCTGGTACAATGTCCTCAAAGACACCAAAATCACATGCGAGGAGAAGATGGTCTCTCTGCTGCGCAACATGTATGGTGATTCCAAGGGGCGATGAAAGACAGTGCCGGCCAACCGAGGCAACAGAGCAGAGGCACACCCGACTCAAGCGAGTCAAGGACATGTGGCAACCTGCAATTTGAGGGAAAGGAGAGCTGCTAGATGAACAACAGCCAGCTGAGGGATCAGCAAGATTCTCCCCCCGCTCCCCTTTTTTAGGTTCTCTTTTTTAAAATAATTATTATTATTTAAGAAGGAAGTACATTATTTTGCTCCGCTCAAGGGAAAAAAGAAAAAAAATGTGTCATCCTTTTCAGATGTTTTTCCTAACTAAATCCCTAGCCATGTGCTCCAAAGCTGAGATCAAGAGATGGAGAAAAAACTCAGCTGGTGGGGTGGGGGGCCCGCAAGTGGTGGAACCAACAGCTTTCAGCTGTACTTGGGGGACAGTTGGTGACTCACGTTAGGTCTTTGCTCCGAGGGACTGAGACTTGGGTAACATGAGAACTTTGTGCAGGAAGTCAGAAGAACCTCCATTTTTGAAGGGGCAGCATTCTTGAAGTAGCTTTGTTAGTGGGCCGTTACAAGAATGGTGACACGTCAAACACATATCAGGTGTCAAAGAACGGCTCCTTAGATGATTCTCTCTACCAGTGTCCTGACAGGTTGTTCTGTGCATTAAAACATTCATATTTACTTCCAACTTCCTGGCCTACCTGTCATTTCTTGAGTCATGTCAGTGAATCTTTCCCAAAATACATCTGCTTCCTTACTGCCTCTTTTAGCCACTCTCATGTTTCTTCCCCATCCCCCCCCCCACCTTGGCTAAGGGAGACAATGTTCTGTCTACTATACACTTCACTGTCACATGCACTTAAATACTACCAGTTCCTTCCATATAGATAGATAGATAGATAGATA